AATGCTAGGATGATCATTGTATTACGTCATATTTGACAATACTAAATGAACATTCGCATGCATTAATTTATTCATATATTGTAATAAATCGAATGATGCTCTTTATATGATTAGAGGCGGCAAAAATGATTGAAGCACGTACTATGATTGTAAAATAATGCGTTATGCTATCGTTGAATTATTTAGGCTTCCAAATGTAAGATAATTTTTTATGCGACGTGGCATTTATTTTTAATGTGAAATGTAAAGCATTTGTGTTTTGGCGGCTGTTGCAAAGATTTTATTAATATAATATGAATTTAAAAAAAAAGAAATCATAAAATATTATGATACCTCGGTTACCAAATGTTTGAGAATGTTGGGGCCTCAAGGTACCTATCATCGGTGGTTATAGGTGGAATGTGCCATGTTTTCTTACTTATGAGATATTTCCTCTGAGGAAAATTAGTGGAAACCCCTGTGAGAATTTTATTAATTCTGATGTATTTTTATATGTAGAAAAAAAGTTCAATATTTTGTAAAATTTCATATACAGAAAATACCAATATTCCAATTCAAATCATTTTATTAAATAAATTTTTTAAATAGGAACTTTTCATTGGTTTTCTCTTCCTTAAAACATGATTGATAATCTTGACAAACGCATTCCCCACATGGAAAAAATCTCTTCCCCCATTTTCATTTCCTTTCTCTGCTTGTCTTTCCTTACAACCACACAGGACTTTAATGGCATGAAAAAATTTCTTTCCCTCCCTATCTTTCCGTAGAATCAAATAAGACTTTCATTATGGTAACATCATTTAAACCTCAACAAAATGATCCAATTAACAACGTCTTACATTGGAAACAATCTTTGGCAGTATTGCCAAACAGGACTTTAATGGATTATATGCTGAAATATGGAGTAACTTTTATCACTAGATGACCATTGTGTGAAGTGAAAATGGTGTGTTTCATACATATCAACTTCCTTTCGTACAAAAAGGGAAAATATGTTACTTCGGACGCCAACACATTTCAGGCTACAAGCTTAAAAGGGAACATTAGAGTACAATAAGTAACACCTGAGGGAAGCTCAAGTGAAAGGCGAGTTCAGTTCTTCTCTATCTGCACAAAACATTCAGAAGTATCCTCCTAGTATGCACAGACAACATATATAATAGACTTCCACCAATGAAACAACATTATTCAAATTGAAAGCATGAATTTCAGTCATCATCCTCCTCTTCGTCGTCTTCTTCATCCTCCTCCTCCTCTTCCTCTTGGTGTGCCTCCTGTAGCAAAGTAAAATAGCCAAACAATATGGTTTAAAGCTTTCATCGTCACAAGAAACATCACCAATGGCCATGAGCCATGCATAAAAGCGCAAACTTTATTGGTGACTGAAAGTAGAAGCTATGCCCCAAAAGATTTCTTGTTTTACCAGCTTTTTCTGATTGTTAATGATTCACACAGAATGCATCTTTAAACTTGATAGGAATATAAATAAAGAATAATAATGGACAAGACTTGGATCAAGCTCCCAAGGTATTATAGCCCACCACATTATTGCCTCTTTTTTTTTTTTGGGGGAGGGGGGGTTGGTTCAACATGCAATATAAGGTATTTGTTTTATTTTTTTACCAGAATCTAGAGAAATCAAAGCAGCTGCATATCATAAATTATTTACAAATCCATTTATATCATGCTAAAAAAAATCATGATTATTTACAAAGATAAACTCGTTACACAAGCTTATTAAAAGAAAAGATCGATAGGAAAGAAGTGAGGCTACCTCTTCATCTTCATCATGAACTTCAGATTTGGACCTGTCTGATTCATTACCTCCATCATCTGCAGTGCTTGCCTGGGCACATCATACAAAGTGAAGCCTGTGAATAATGCACACAAAAACAGCAAAAACAACAGACCATCTCACGCTAGGTGCTCACCTGCTTTTTGTTATAAGCATTCATAATTTTTTCATAGTCAGCTTTCCTTTTCGCAGCCTTGGCTTCATACGGAGCTTTCTCCTTCCAGACCAATAGAGAAATCGAAATCAGTAAGAGAATAAATCCCTTCATTATGGTGAGGTCACTATAAACAGATACCACAGAACTCAATATAAGAAACAATTATATAAAGCTATAATATACACAGTCTAATAAAAAGGTTACTGTTTTTTGAATGTATCACATGATGAAGACCAAACCCAACAGAAATAAAATTTGCAGTTATGCATCCAAGATTGAACTGCTTACAGCCTCAGACAAGGATTTCCATTTCTCTCCTCCGGCTTTCCCAACCTTCAATCAAAGAGTACAGTAAGAGCCATAGATGGGTTATTCAATGAGGAAATGTATCAGTAAATAAATTAAAGAAACTTGAGATGCAACTTACAGCTGATACTGCCTTCACAGTAGGATTTTCCTTCTTAAAGGTTGCTCTGAACTCCTCACTGCCATATAGAGAAGGAGATAGTTCAAGTACTTTCACTTTTCATGGCAGCTAAAAGAGAAAGGATCAAAGACAGAGAGACAAACAGGAAGACAAAGAAAGCACTGGGTGGTCTTTTTGGTTTGTTGGGATCTTTCTTGGCCTTGGTCATCCGTTTGCTACTTTTGTCAGGTTTAGCCGCAGCCTTTCTCTTTCCGACCTTTCTGAAAACAATAGAGATATATATGTTCCATCACTACAATATTCCTGTAACAGTTGTTTGCACCATCAAGTATGTGTAATCAGATACAAATAAACTTTTAGATATAAGCAAAAACAATCATCCTTTTGGGCCAGAAGATACAAAACCATGGAAATAAGTATACCTCAACTTTATTCACATTTAGTACAATGATACAACGAACTAACCTATCATCGACAGGCTTCAACGATTCCCTAGAGTTCTTTACAGCTCCCTTCCCTTTGCCAGTCTTCATTGTTGAAGTTCTTGAATTGGGGTTAGAGAGTTGGATTGAAAAAAATTAGAAAAATCCAAATAAAAAGGAAGAACACATATATAACGTTAACATGAGATTGGTTGCAAGATCAGGTCAATTTGAATAAATTCTCCCCAAACAGATAATTAATAAACTGACATGTTACGTATGTGCCTAGCTGCCCAAGCACTTAGATAAATTCACATGTTTAGAGTTAAGAACTGATCCTGATTTGTATACATGACTTGAAAAAACATAAAATCCTTGAACACGTGATGAGTAACATTTGACATCTGATAGGAGCCTTGAACACCCATCAAAATATCAGTGCTTCAGGAGTAAGAATTTATTGTAATCTGTTGCCACAACATAAGATAGACAAAGTTCGAAGCCTCCCATCAGGGGGGAAAAAACTGTACATAGAGGAAATCCACAGAAAGAAGCATGTGATCAACGCCAATCAGCACAGACCTAATCAACAGTGAAATGTTTAAGGGGGTGGGGAAATGGGGAAAGAAGAAAGCCACAGAGCCAGAGTACAAACAACATAAGTGAATATAAAACCTTTCTCCTCATAACTCACCGTTTTCTTTAAAATTATTGGGAAAAACAACAAAAAATATTGAAATAATTCAGCTTTGACTTTTCACAACTACCAAACAGAAACACAAGCGAAGAGAAACAACAAGAAGCACAGCTATGGTAAAAAAGGGTTACCTTGGAAAAGATGAGGAGGAGGAGGAAGAAAAGAGGAGCTTGAACGCGAAGCAAAACCACACAGAAACCCACAGGCCAGAATCAAAGGAAGAAAGTACCTGAGAGAAGACTGAAGAGAAAGGCAGAAGCAATAGAGGGCATACGACCGAGTAGCCAGTGAATTTGATAAAGCCACCGGACCAGCCGGTGGATCGTAGGGACTTTGTCGCCACACAAGTCAACTGGAGAATAGGATTTTGGCCTGGCTCAGCCGGTTGCCTAGATTCGGTAACGATATTTTAATATTCCCTTTCAATAATTAATTGAGAATTCAGTAATTGATTAAAAACTTTATACTTTATATCAACGACACGACCAAGATTTAATTATCCTCAATCAATCACTGGATAATTGCCCTCTCAGTGCGCAAATAATCATTTAAGCCCAATAATCAATTTCAAACTAAAATTTAAAGGTTTAAAAAAGATTAATATATAAAATAAAGTATTTTTTATTAATGAATAAGAGGTTTTTAATTGGTATTTTATTAAATTTAGAATGAAGAAATAAATATATTGAAATCCTAAAGATTGCGTAGAGAAATTCTTACCTCCTTTTTGGAGCATTATTCCAAGAGCACAAAAGAATTAACTGCAGTGACCCCCAAGTCTGATTCAGTGCATTGGTGGGAACAAAAAGACAAAATGATTGGAGAAATCTTAGTCATTCACTACATCCAACGGTTCCTAATGAAGTTCCATGCAGAGAAATCTTAGTCTGCCAAATTTGGCTTAGCATGGCAGACAAATCTTAGCAGCATATCACCTGAAATTATTTAAGAATTAAGATAATTGATTAGGTATGACAACCTTTTGTAGGTTGGCGTCAAGGACCCATATAAAATTTGGGAAAAAGATAAAAAGACAATTGTTTATGAAGGGTCAGGTAATTTGGTTCAATCTTCAAATTTTCTTGGAACCATAAATCTAAGGTATGATTCTAAGGTTTTATGAGAACTTTGAAGAGTTTTGACCCTTTTTTTTTTTTTTAAATATCATGATTCATGAATCTATTATATTTTTACAAAAATACCAATCAAATAAATTCAAATGAATTAAAGTGCAAATTTGATTAAAATTTTTTTATTCAGTAACACGGTGTTTGGCATCACATAAAAGCGTTTTTGAAAAATATTTTTTTATAAATTGAAACAAACTCCTCCATATATTTATTTTGTATATCATAAAATTATTTTTAAAATTATGGTTTGGTCTTTATCTAAACCTGTCTTTGAAAGTTTTTTTTTTTTTCCTTCCAGCAATCGACGTTTTAAAATGATGTCTTAATTCTGTAATAAATATTTTTGAGCTCGAGTGAGCTTACCTCTCAGAGCTCTCAAAGCTATCAAAGTCTGAAACCCCTAGCAATTCGCGCGGTATCCAATATCCATCTCTTCCTGTTCCAACGAGCGTTACAACCAGCGAGCATCAAGTACAGAAGCAGTGAGCGGGCACTCCGTCATTCGCCTTTATTCTTGTCGACGGAAGCGAGCTTACACCTCGGTAGCGATTATGTTAGTGTTGCTTCCCCTTTTAGTTGTCTTGCTCTGTTTATACTTTGGAGTTCATCCGCCTATTGGGTATTAAAACGCATCTTGCAGAATATTTGATGTTATTTTGTTAGTGGACATAAAGAGTGGTGTGGCCGAAAGAGAAGAAAATGGTAATAATGAACATGAAGACGTTGATGGATAGGGTGGCGGCAAAACTTCTAGTACAGTTAGTTGGATTGCTTGTGGTTAAGGTGGCTGGAATCTGTAGCTCAATATTTTACGTATTTTATTGATGCAATTTATTGTGTATCTACGCTTTTTCTCTTCTTGTTTGTTCGTTCAAGTTCTTTTACACTCCCTTGCTTGCTGGAGGGGTGTGTGTGTGAATTTGAACTTAACATAATGATAATACAAATAAAATTACAAACAAAATGTGCACGAAAAGTTCAAAGTTCTATGTTCATGTTCATTAGAGCAATAGTAATCATCTCGATTTATTCAGGGAACACTCCGATTTTGTGAGCACAATGCGTTGTACACTGAGCTAGGGTGGAATTGAAGGGGAGGATGAAGATGATGGCCTTTTGCTGATTAATTCTGCATACTTTACTCTTCCTCTGCTAATTACTTTCCCTTTTTTAATTCACCTCAAACGAAGAATGAGGATGACGGCCTTGGCTCTTACGTGCCCTTGCTTTTTGCCATCAATTGTTTCTTGCTCCTCACTTGTAAGGGTACCTACATCTTCTTGCAAATGCACATCAAGCCCAGGTTAGTAATTGCTAGATGTCTGTCACCTTCAAAACTGATATTTTTCATTCTATTCATCTTGTGATTTGTGTGTCATCACGACTACTGACTGGGTTTTGGTGACAGTTTTAAGGAGATGCGTTGACAAGGAAAAGGAAGAGGTACTACTGGAAGGGATGCCAAAGGAGTATTATGATGATGTATGTATGCAGGTTTCTCTATCAGATGAGATGTCCTTGCCATATATGGCTGAACTAGGTTTTTCCCTCTTTCATTTTGTTTCTATATTATGATTTAGCCGGGAAGATTGACACTTTTGCCTTTTGTGAGACAAACCTGGCCATCTGAACTAATAGTTTATTAGATGTCACGCCCTTTTGCAGGCTGCAGTTGGTATATTACTATTTGTTTTCCTGATGTTCTAGTTCTTTTTTCAGATTTTCTTCAAAGTTACTTCGCTAGATTCCAACATAAAATTTCTATTGCTTCAATTAATCTTGAATCCGTGTTGTGTGTCAATCTAGGCTGTGTTTATGCTGCCCTTCCTTTTATTGGCCATGCTAACTACCTTCGTATAATCAGATATATAATTCTTTCCTTACAAGCCTGACATAGCTCTTACGTCATTAATATTGTTCTTCTTTTAATAATCATGATATATGAATTTACAGTGGATGCTTTTGTTCTTGGTTTATGAATATAATTACGAAAACACTACCCTTAATGTTTATCTGCTTGCTTATGTGCTGTCTTGTCAAATTTAAAATACAAATCCATCTATGGTTTTATTTGGATACAATGCATTAACCTTCTATATGATAGGAATGGCAAGCCCAACAACGTGAAAGGACAAAGGAGTTGCAGCGACTACGCAAACAGGAAGAGGAAGAAGAAGAAAGAAAAATTGAGGAATATCGTGAAATTGGCATGCGGTTGAAGGAATATCCAGAAGAGGATGTCATAAAAGCTCGGAAATTGGTTTCAAGCCTTATAAGAGCTGCTGAAGAAGTAGAAGAGGTGACTGCTTAATACTTGCCAAATCAATATCCTACTCATTATATGGCCCACACGTTTCATCATGAGATGGTGTTTTTATTCAACTTACAATGAATGCATCCAAATACCTACTAAATGAAGGTAACAGTGATTGCATCTTGCATGCTGTGAGCTTAGCATGTGAAGGTAATGCTATAAGCATAGGTTCCCTTTCATGTCATGAATTGTTTTCCAAAATCACACATATGCACACCCACCCTTTCTGGTTGGTGGCCATCTATTCTAATTTAGAGTTCAGTATAGCTTGCTTGGAGAGGGAGAGTGGAAGATTGTATCCTGTTGGCTTCAAATTTAATTCTTTCACATTAAAGAAGAAGCAAGAAATAAATAAAAATGGCACGAGTCCATTATTTCCTGAAATTTTCCACTTTGTGATAGCATTTTTAACATGCTTTTTTTATTAAATTCTTTCCCCATTCAATCATAACTTTTTTCTGTGATAAATATAACTTGTCTATTTATTGATAACATGTGTACCTTTCACACTTTTGGCAATAATAGTGTTGAGAAAATTTCATCATTCTAGATAGCTAGATAGCTTGAGTCTTATCTTCCCCTTTTAATTAATGGGTGAAGCTTCTCTTCTCTTTAACGATGGATAGCTTTGTGCATATTTTACTTTGTGAAAATTTAGGCTGCTGTTTGCACATATTTGAATAACTGGCTGAATCTTCTATTGTAGAAAATTGAGGAAGCTGCTGAGAAAGGAGAACTTACCGAACTTGTTTTAATGGTCATATGGAATCGCCTTGATCTTGCCCGACGTGATGTAAGTTGGTTTTCTAGCATCTAAATTTACGTAGGTGTATCTTTCAATCAATTTTTATGGGTGATTTCATCTTATTATGCTGAAATAAACTATTGATTTGAGGATCAAGGAGTGGCATACTTTTTGTTTATATTTCCATGACTATAGATGCCTTATATTCAAAATCTTTGATCATGAAGTTACTGAGCTGTTGTTTGTTTAAAATAACTGCTACAATTTGAGGGCGAATATCAGAGATACATCTTAGAATGTGTTAATTGTCTGTTTCTAGTGCAAGTATCATTTTCTCCCTCTTACAATCTTTTTGTGCATGATCTTATGCTTCCAGGAAGAAAAGGATGCTGTTAGAAGTCTGGATCTGTTATACAGACGGGTTGAGGTAAGACATGCTCTTTTAATTGGTTGTTTAGGAATGCTTACAATCAAGCATTCAAATTTTTGTGACCAGCTTATTTCCTTGATATTACAATGACATCCGGCAAAAATTGAAACTTAATACTCTTAATGTTCCTTTCCCGTGAGTTCTTACTGTTTGTTTTATGATGCAGACTGAGATCTTGAAACGCGAGGCTTCTCCTGCAATGAGGTTGCTCAATGACCTTTTAATTATGCATGATGGCATTAATGAACAAGAATGGCTTAAGAATTGTAAGAAACGTATGGTTGATACATTTCCGCGAGAAGATCCATTTAGCATTCTTGTTCCACAAGGATTTGATATAGACAAGGTATGCTGGACCTGTTGGTTGTATGACGCAGGCTACAGTACACTCTTGTAGCCGAGTCACGTGCAAGTCCAATAGCTCCTGTTTGTTTCTCAAAATGGTTTTTATAAAAGCCATAGTTTGTGATTCTCAATGCATGGGACTATGGATGTTAATTTGCCTTACTCCATTTCTAAATTTATACGTCTATTTGACTGAATCCCCTTATTGTTTTTAAGTGTAATTTCTTTCAATATATATAAACAATCTCATGTTTTCAGCATGAAGGGCCCATACGACCTCCAATTGAAGACGATGATGTTCTTTTGAGGGTGGACTTTATAAGGGAGGTGGATGAATTGCTGCAAGAGGTTCGTTCTGAACAAGAGGAAGTGCATAATGAACCAGGGTTTGATCCTGAATCTGTTGCGAATAGATTGAAGCAACAAGAGAAGCAACGGACAATACACCAGGTAGAAGCTCTGCTTGACTTGGCCATTGGGCTGCAACTGTAGCTCTTTGAGCCACTTCTTCGGTGACCAGAGAGGCTGCTGGATCTTAGAATTTCAAAGTTTTTCTTCATTCTCATCTCCATTTGGCTGTATAATAGTTTTTAGTTTTCAATGGGGCTGAGAACGTATGGTGCCTGTAGCCGAGTTAGCTCTACATTTGTCTTTAGCACCTCTGATATAACTAAATAAAACATTGTCAAATTTGCTCTTAGATGAAAAGGATGCATGTAACTATTTTTGCCGACTGAAGTGATTTTTGGATTCAGGTTATATATTGGCCAATCCTTTATTTAGTTCTTATAGTTTGAAAAATCAATACTCCCTCCTGTCCTTAATACATTATGTTAATAACCGGAGGAATAAAATATTTTATCTGCCTATAAGAGGGAGAGTTTTGGTGGAACGGTCGTCTTCATTTGACTTGGTGGTCATGGGGTCAAGCTTTTCGTGCTCCACGAATTTCAGGAGCTTTATGCACAAGGCTGTTTCATATGTTTAAAGATTTTGTTTGATTCATTTGTTCTATCAAATCTTGATGATATGAGATGACAAAATGTTTCATACGCGCACAAGTATCAAAATGTTGGATACTTGTTTCTTAACAAAATTAAACAAGAACATTAATAAGCATACGATGACAAGGCTGGATAAATTTTTTTTAAAATCACAATCTAAGTCATTTGTCATTGTTAATTTGAATTTATTTGTTAGCTCTCCAAAGGCCACGGAAGGTGCTACGAGTCGTTCCATGTAGATGATGCAAAATGCTTGTTGGGGCAGGATTCTCCCTTCCATATCGTTTCACAAATTGATTCAGGAGCTGTAGTGGCCATGTTGAATCATTACCTTGGAATCGATCACTTTCTGGCTCATGCCTCATTGATGGTTTCATTCGTCAACATATAAATCCTTGACTATTAAAACAACAAACAGATGTGAGGCTGCTGGTCAAAAAAAAAAAAAAAAACCAGATGTGAGGCTGCTTTCATATATTGGAGATCGAGGGCCTGTGTCAACTAATTATATCGTGAAATCGCACCATACTCCTTCCGATTCCGATCAATATAAGATCATTTTACTAGTAGTATGTAAAAATTTTTGATGAGAAATGTGCTACTTCCAGTTCCTAATATAAAAACTAATTGATTAATGTAAATAAATTAAAAAAAATAGTTAAATTAGTAATTTGTAATGAATAGATATTGTTTTTCTTAAAATATTTTTGATAATCAAGTGTATTGGTTAAAATTATTATTATTATAAATACTACCTTAAAAAAATACATAAATATAATAGATAAAATGGATTGGGAGTCTTATATTTAGAATCAAAATAAAAATTAAACAAATTTTTATATTAAATAACGGAGGCAGCATATAAGATAAAAGCTCAATTACTTCCCATGTTTTGATCTTAATGGGTTCAAATGGAGAGGACAGATTTTTTTAAATGCGCAACAAAAACCTCATTTCAGTGATAGATTAATCCCAGAACTGGACTTGGAATTTTTCCATATGAGCAGTGCCAAGTGTCCAACCACGACCACAAGCTTTCGCCGTACTGGCGCTTTCATGGGCCCGAGTGGGGTCCACATCACTTCAACCAGATAAGCCTCTGGATAAGATTTCCAAAATCTCCACCGTCAGATGGATACGCTTCTCCATCCAACGGTGAATAATCCTCCACATCCGATTCTCTTACATGCCCTTGATAAAGTACTCATCAATATAATCTCCATTCTCCTATTGCTCTCTTATTGCGAGTCACCTCCTGTTATTCGCTCGACGCACGCATTTCCGGCTCACGTTAGCACACAGCCATGGCAGCTTCCGCTTCCGCCGCATCTTCCTTCATCGGCACGTGCCTCCCTGACGTGCACTCCACTTCGGGTCGGTTCGTGGCTCGGTTTGGGCTTGGCACCAAGAAGAGCCCGCCTAAGAAAGCATCGAAGCGTAGCTCCGATAGGCCACTGTGGTACCCGGGAGCGCAGGCGCCGGAATGGTTGGACGGAAGTCTTGTCGGCGATTACGGATTCGACCCGTTCGGGTTGGGAAAACCAGCGGAGTATTTGCAGTTCGACCTGGACTCACTGGACCAGAACCTCGCGAAGAATTTGGCCGGTGACGTGATCGGGACTCGAACAGAGTTTTCCGATGTCAAATCGACGCCATTCCAGCCTTACAGTGAGGTTTTCGGCTTGCAGAGATTCCGTGAGTGCGAGCTCATTCACGGACGGTGGGCCATGCTGGCTACACTCGGTGCCCTGGCCGTTGAATGGCTCACCGGCGTTACCTGGCAAGACGCTGGCAAGGTATGTTCTCACTGTTATTTACCGTTTTCGATTATATTATCGTCTTTTTATGCTTCTGTGTTGGAATTATGTTTAGTCCCTGCTTCAGAATTAGTGAATGACAAACTAGTTCCAGATCAATTTCTCTTCTCAGTTGACCAAAGAAGAAAAAATTAGAAAATGTTCACTTATTTCCTTCTAAAGATCAACTGCCGCACTCAACAAGTTTTCAGGAATTTAAAGTTCCGATCTATCTAATAAGTTTAGGCAAAGCTGTTATATTTTCTTTGGCAAAAACCAAATTATTAGTACAGAGTCGATCTTTTTCTTCTCCCGGGTTGAATAATACGATTTCTTTAACCCTGTGAAAAGCAAACATTTATAAATAAGTAGAATCTTGCTCTTGTTTGGCTTTAAGTTTGAGAAGTTTAAATCCCACAAATCAAAGCACCAGAAAGTGTGTGACTGAATCATTGTTGTCTGAAACTCTGAATAATCTTACATGCAACATATCTCTGTTAATAGGTAGAGCTTGTTGAGGGTTCATCCTACCTTGGGCAACCTCTTCCCTTCTCAATGACCACATTGATCTGGATTGAGGCTCTGGTGATTGGATACATTGAGTTCCAAAGGAACGCCGAGCTGGACCCCGAGAAGAGGCTGTATCCCGGCGGCAAGTTCTTCGACCCACTGGGCTTGGCCGCCGATCCGGAGAAGAAGGCCACCCTGCAACTTGCAGAGATCAAGCATGCTCGTCTTGCCATGGTGGCCTTCCTTGGTTTTGCTGTTCAAGCTGCGGCCACTGGCAAAGGCCCTCTCAATAACTGGGCAACCCATTTGAGCGATCCTCTTCACACTACCATCATTGACACTTTCACTTCCTGAAAAAGCTTTCTACTCTCTAGTCATCTGATATTGGCAATATGCATGTCCTGCAGACATTTCACGTAGTTCAATTAGTACTTGTAAAGTTAGTGATATGGTGGAATTTGAGAGGCTAAAGCAGAATGTTACTGCTTCATTTTATTGCGTCTCAATGTTAAGAATCTGAAAACATGAAAATGAAACGAGTGTGAAAAGATGAGTTTGGCTCCTTGTTAGTTAGAGGTTTGTAACTGGTTTTGAAGTTAAAATACAGGTTAAAAGAAGTAATATAATTAAGAAATAGAATCACATGCATAATAGACGCCTTTCTTTTCATCGAAAAAAATGTATATAAGATGATCTTCGTTTTTTATTTTCATTTTTTTTCCTTTTTTGCCAACCTTTTTAATTTCAATTTTCCAGCCAGTACCCACATTTTAATTTTGAAATTTCAAATTTGGATAATCCGTGAAGTAAAAGGCGGAATGTTAAAAACTGAAATTACTTGTACAAGATCAAATAAAAGTTAAAAAGATGGAAGAATGTGAATATATATTTGATTTATTTTTAATAACAAGATAAGCGAAATTTTTGTATGAAACTTACCCCGGTAGTAACTGAGAGCTTTTTCTAAAGATTAGAATGGGATGGCTTAAACTACGTTAACATAAAGCCATTTATTCTCACAATGGAACTCCTAAATGATAGAATATCCGTCCGACCTCAATCCATTTCATATTTCCATTGATCGTTACATTTCATTCCGCCATAAAGTGCGAGGCATGATTTAGAATCTTAAATATTACTCATCTGATTTTAAATATAAAACTCGGAGTAATTCCAAAGAGTGCCAAGTCAAGGCCTTTTTTAGGCTTTGCTGCTCGAGATCCCAATATCCGGACGCACCTTCTTTAAGTGTCCGCGCTCTTTGCCTTCTTTTTCGTCTTGTCAAACGAAGCAGCTTCCTTGGGCTCTTCATCTCGGCCTTCGCCATTGTTACGCAGCACAACCAAACACATAAGAAAAGCCGCCAAGTTGAGAAAGATGGGAGCCATCAGTGGGCTTGGCCGGTTTAGTACTCAAGGATATAGGTTAAGGCCCAGCTTGTTTGAGCCCATAATGTGGCTGGACACAACTAGCCCATCTTAGAGACTGTCTGGGCTCCATTTTGGGCCTGAATCACAATGGGTAAGCGTTTTTTCAGTTTCCTTACGGTTGTGACTGATGGCTTGTACAGTTATACCATACATATAGATATAGCCAAGCAGAGTAAAATTAAATGCTCTCTGCCTCGTCATCACTGCCTCAGTTATTCTGGTTTTGGCGCCGGCATCAACCTGTCCGTCTCAGCTCTCCTTCGCTATCTGGTAATCTCTCAATTATTGTCTTCGTCTCAGCTCTCATTTTCTCATTTTTCATGCGCGTTATTCATTGTTAATTTTGGTGATGACGTTGGAGAAAATGCGGCTTTCCATCTGACATGTTTTGGTCGATGGTCTAATCTAATTTCTTGGAAATTTAATTTTCTTAAAAAGATAATTGAGTCAGTATTCCTATCTAGATCGAGATACAGACTGCTCATTAATCTATCTTCTGTGCTGAATATCTTACAAGTTTCTTACTATCTGGAAAGCTAAAAGTTCCGTGATCAAACGCTGCTGCTTCTTAAAAATTATTTTCATGCTTACTTATCTGAACTCTTCTGCTTACTTGTTTCTGCTCCTCAAGTTTATATTTCCTACGTTGTGATTTTAATTTTTATGCTTTTGCCATCATGGTGCTTGATAGAAAAGCCTGAGAAAATGATGCTTAGTTGACTGATGTTGAAATGTAGGGAAAATGGATAATTATTGTTCCTTTGCTTTTTGTTCTATAATTGAACTGAATATTTGCTCCGCGAAAATGAGCAATTTGGAAGTCCGGTGAATATGATGAATATTATGCTCTAGGTTCATCCAACTCTGCAGGGCCACTAATAGATGGAAATAAATCATGGGATTATGTGCCATGCAAGTTAGTTGAACCAGATATGTTAGACTTTCATTTGGCTGTGGCCTTAACTTTGAACTATGTTTAACCGATGATTATTCTCTCGTTTTGGTGTAAGCTGAATTTAGATTATCTTTGAGTAAATTGGTGGTATGCATGCCTTCTTTATTGTTTATATTTTTGGCGTAAAATTGCCTGTATTTTTATTTGGCTTTACTTCTGTACCATTTTTGGTACTTAGGCAGTTTGCAATCGTTAACTGAATGCGTTTTATGTTTGTTTCACTCTCAGCTGCACTGTTTCATTGCTTGGTACTGGTAAGCTGAGCTGGACATGGTTTCAACTTGAGCTAGATATGCACCAATACATGGGGACCAATAAATGGGAACAGGAAGCCTTGTGTGGAGTTTTACAAAGAAACTTATCACGTTTGGGCTCATTACTGTCACAGTAACAGATCGTTTTCTGACCATTGTTCCAGTTCGTGGTGGCTCTATGTCTCCCACATTTAATCCTAAAACCAGCTCTTTGGTGGGAAATATTTCTGGTAAATTTCTTGTTAAAAGAATCATCTGAGAGGAATCCCTTTTTTTTGAAAAAAAAAAAAAAAAACTATTTCAGATTACGATGCTTGACATTTGATTATTCTGCAGATGACTATGTCTTGGTTGAGAAATTTTGCCTTGGAAACTATAGGTTTTCCCGTGGTGATGTGGTGGTATTCCGGTAATCTTTTTTTGCCCATTTTCATTTACTTTATTTATTTCATTTATGTTTTTATATCGCATAAATAGATGTGTTTCTTGTGTGATGCACGAGATAAATAATAACTTAATAGTTTGTGAAACATTGTTTATTTTTTTAGTATTTAGATCTTACTGAAATGCGTAAAAAAAAAATCAGACATAGAAAAAGAAGTTGTTGAGCCCAAGAAGAGCTTATGAATAATGCAGTTTCATCTAGATATTATTACTTGTATTGATATTGAGTTCTTTTCGTGCATACCATGTACTATATTTTCTGTATGAAAGTTAGCCTATCAAGCGATGTAACTAAAGAGCTAGATGTAGTAATCACCAACTCTGAATCTTGAAATCTTTTGAGTCCGATGAAAGTGTCCATTGTGCTGCAATTTTTTTCAAGGTTGCATTTATTTGCTTAAAAAGTTGAACATAACTCAGTTTACTTATGTTTCTTGAATGGGTCTGCAATAGTAGTGAATAGGAATGGGAGGAAATATTGGATGAACAATGAAAGGACTCGGGGGCTATGGCATGTGAGTTTTCCAGCTTATATATTAAAGACTCTTGTTCTTCATTTATTCTGATGTATAATTTGATAGCCTCCTTATCACTGTACTCATAATCAATGATATTAACCATGTTACCAGGATAACTCATTTTGTAAATGCCGAGCATTTACAACTGAGTTCAACATTTTTATTTTGAGATTGCATAATTATTACATTCTGAACTTCTGCAGCTCCCCGTTGAATCACAAGGAGACACACATAAAGAGAATTGTTGGATTACCTGGTGAGTGGTTTGGTGCACTTCGTAACTATGATGTGCTGAAGGTTCCAGAAGGACAATGCAGCTTCCAGCCTGGATTCAACCTCATTGGGTCCTGTAAGCCTCCATTTCTATACTGGAAGCAAGAAAACAAACATTTCATGAATGATGGTGGCTAAAACTAAGACTTTGGTGGCGACATGTTGTCATAACTGAGCATTTTATTTTTATTACCCTGTTGGCCAAGGTTATAGAGTTCAAATGTTAGCAGGAGTTCATTGGTAGCTTAGTATTTCACTCTGTAGTTCTCATGCTTTCTATCTCAGGTATCAAAATGCACACCACAAAAGTCGACCAACTCATCCTTAATTGCTAGGACAACAATTTTATCCATTGCATATAGTAACTACGCTGGCTTATTACAAAGAATTAGAGGCGAGGAGCTTCCTTGTATACTATCTATTGATTGCGTTGCTTTATGTATTGAAGAAACTAATATTCACTATGCTTTTTTTTAATTAAATCTTCTTGCTCACTGACTTGAACTACTATGTAACTTTTGGGCGCTCATGACAGATGTTGACACTGAGCTCTAAGCTTATCTGTCCTTTAATGTTTTACGAGTTCTTTTTTATATTTTCCATGGGACACATCACTTAATATTATATTTCTTGATAGAATAAATAAATCAATTGTTTGTAGTCGATCATGGCAACGCAGCTTTGTGGCAAATGCAGAGTATTTTGATGTTATAAATCTCAACCTACAGGTAACCTAAAATTTATGTGCGCAGTTTCCTTTGGGTTTAGTTCGAGGAAGGGTGACCCACGTTGTATGGCCTCCTCAAAGAGTAGGTGCGGTAAAGAAGACCCCACCAGAGGGATTTTCTCCTTCATTGTTGACTCTTTAATGCCAATCCCTTTGGCTTCAGCAGGACGAAACAAATTTTTGCTCGGATTATTTCCATTTGGATAGATACTGATGTATATGCTGATTGAGTGAGGATGGCCCCAAAAAAATAAATAAATAAAACAAAACAAAACAGAGGATACTCTTGTTGATTTGTATGGATAAAATTATTATAAGGCATAACATAGCAGTTATGAGATTGTTAATAAATTAACGGATATGCTCCAAATTTTGAATTTTGCAATGACAGTTTCTTAAATAAAACGAGTTTTTATCATCAATGATGTCCAATGCATCATAGAATAACTATGTGAAAAAGATAGAAGAAAATTCTAACTAAATTATTAGCTCTTTATAAATACCAATTTTAATGCACACATCTGTGTTTGTGTTGGGAATAAAACCAAGCTTTCCCCCTGAAACCTCCTATTTAATTGTTGTTGTAAGAAATGAGTCCCCTACATATAACATGTCCTATTAAGTCTAACCAAACCAAACTGAGGTAAAGACTATCTACAATGTATGTCCCTAAGATTTAATGTAATGCCAGTAAAAGCAATTAATGCTTGTTTCAAGAAACGTTTTTCCCCCCCAGAGTAGAGCTTTTTGCATACACACAAAATATCTATGCAATTGTTTTTTCTAGCTTTAGGACTTCCTGCTTCATTCTTTGCATCCTTAAGGCTTAAGGATCTAATGTTGTAAAGGTAAGGAGAAAAAGTTATCTTTAAGTAAGAGTGTTTATATTTAACCAATTTTAATCACACCCTCTAACTAAAGTATAAATGTATGATCACAACCAAAAAAAAGAGGAGGAGTCAATGGAATTGCGGTGGAAAGAACCCGATCTTTCCACCCTCTTCATTAAAGCTGACTAATTTACAAATCCAATGTATCAGAGCATTCCAACGCAAAAAGGCAGATCTTTCTTTCTCGGCTACAACCTTTCCCAACACAATTTTTCTCATCTACTCACATGCACTTGCCTGCTAAACACTGCCTTTTTTCTTTCCAAACTACAGAACTTGACCTACCAAATTTTAGCTGTTTTAATTCAATAATTAAGAAGGAAATTTATTTAATCAACATTAGATTCATATGCAATCACTTTTATATCGATTGCTAAATTATTTAACTAAAATAAAATATGATAAGTTTGTTTTTTTCCCCGATAAATAACATGATATGCATATAATTTAATTTAATCAGAAAATATCACCTCTCAAAATAATGTACTTATTATCTTCTTATTATATATTTGCTGTATTTTATTTAAAGCATTGCTTTTTTATTAAATACCCAAAAAGTTACTATTGAATAACTGTAAATTATAGGGACTTCTTTGCGAGAAAAAAAAAATCTCAGAAGTTTATGACGAGCTTCATCGGTGGGAAAAATAATAATAATAACAACGAGCGTCATCTTTCCGGGGGGTCCTAAACGAAGCCCGTTATTCACAAAGCCCGATTTTCACTGACCTTCCAGCTACGGACTGATAGGAATCGAATGCCTTTGTACTTCTTCCTGGTAAACGATTCAATGAATTCCTTCTCTGTCTTCGTTCCTGATTCACACCCTCAATCTGTATTCTTTACGTCGCCATATGTATCTAACATTTTTCTGAATTATTATTCCTTGTTAGTTTGGTCACGTACTTTGAATTGCAGTGTCTGATGTCTCCTCTGCTAGATTGATTTTGTATTTTTTTGGTTTGGCTATTCTGGGTTCCTAGAGGTTAATATTTCTCATTTTTCTTTCTGGGCTTGTGATTTTACTTGATGTCTTTCTTTTCTCCTTGGTCGTTTCTTGAAGGAAAATTCGATTCATTATTCCTTGTGGGTTCAAAGTTGATAGATTGGGTTAGCGGGAGATATGGGAAGGTTGTTCTTGATCAATCTAGAAGGAAACATCTACAGCTGCAAGCACTGCCGTACGCATCTTGCCCTTCTTGATGATATTATATCCAAGGTTTCATTTCTCTTCCTTGAAACTTGAATTTTACTTTCTGGAATTTGATTGTGCAGTTTTCTTGTGGACATTTCTGTGTTTTCTCTGGAAAATAGACATAAGCTAATTGGGTAACTAGGAAGTCTCATTATTGGGATGATTTGGGGCACACAATGAACCTGAAAGGGAAGGAAGGAGTATGATTTTAGAGGAGGTGACAAGATTTGAGGAAATCAATTGAAAGAAAAATCAAACATGTCCAGATATATATTTCTAACCTCTTAAATCATATCGTGTTGTCTTTGAAGCATTGCAATTATAGGGAGGAGCTGTATCGGTGTCTGTCTGAGGGTCTTTAATGTGTTTTAAACTTTCACATTAACAGATATACTGGACTGTCCTATTAGGAATCTAATCATCACTCTTTGAATCACTGAAACACATATTTAAAGACATATCAGATCCAAGTCTTCAATGTCATTCTCGTGCCGATGCTTCAACTGGTTGTGTTGATATATCTTCTGTTTTCACGTGATTCTTTGTCTGTAGAAGGATCTTTTCTTTGTGCTGTATAATGCATATTTTTGAGGGAGTGGGAAAGTTTCACTCTGTACAACTTGTCTTGAAGTGTTTAAATCAACTGCAACTTCTGTTATATAAAGAAGTTCCTTGCAGGTGCAGGGACTCTGTAATCCAATGATGAGATGATTTTCCTTATTAAGGAGGAGAAATCTAATTGGTTAAGCACATAATATTAGTGATACAGTCCTTCAACCAGTCTTCAATGTAGCAGAACTTGATGACTTCGATTACCAATTTTTTCAATCATGAAGTTGTGGGATTACAATCTTTAATTGAAAAATCCAATCAACCTTCAGTATTTATGTCATCATGTGGATCTTTGTAAGCAATAGAGTTGGTTTTTTTTTTTATCCTTATTATGTTGTCCATGGCACTCTTTTTATTAGTCTTTTCCTTTTGTGACTTCTTGTTTAAAAAGAAGAGAAGTATTTGGGAGACTAACATTTTAATTGACTTCATCTTCCTTTCCATGATTTCCTATATGCATTCTGAATCCTTAGTTTTTTGTATATGCATTTCACAAATTCTTGCATCAAGAAAATGGAATCATGCGTGCAATCTAACTCTGCTTTTTTGTTTTCTTACCCCTTTCATAGTCTTTCCATTGCAGGCATGGGAAGGCTTACCTATTTAATGAAGCGTAAGTGTTATTTCAAGTCGAAAAAAGCATTAGAAGTTGCTAATGTAGATTCTGCTTATGCTGCTATGTTTTTAATTTTAACATTTCTAGAATTTGCAATATCTTGAGAGAAACCCAAGAACTTGGAACATGCCTCATCAGTTCATCTTGAATGCGTTGATGGGGAATTCTTCCAAGTTGAAAAAAATTCAATTTCTAGTTTAACGTCAGGGTGAACTTATGAGGACTTTTTTGACATCCTGTTTTCTCTTCTTTATGACAGTGTGAATGTCACAGTTGGAGAGAAAGAAGAGCGGATGATGATAACAGGACTGCATACTGTTGTTGACATATTCTGTGTCACATGTGGGTCCATTGTTGGATGGAAATACGTAAGGAGCAACTTTAAGAGCTTATTTTTTGGAATTTACTGGTTTTCTTGTCATGCTATTGTTACTCTAAAGTGTTCCTTAATGCCTATTCCACTTTTATTCATTTAGGAAGCTGCACATGAGAAAAGTGAAAAGTACAAAGAAGGAAAGTTCATTCTTGAAAGGTAACCAGTCTGGTCTATTATTCTTTACAGTACTTTTGGGTATCACGATGTCCCTAAAGTTCTGAACTTCCCTCGAGCTCAACTCTTCTCTTCAGGCAATTTAACAGTGTACTTCATTATGAGTCTGAAACATTTAGAACTTCTAAAACGCTTTCCTAAAGAATCGAACTGAGCTAACCCCTCTGATACTAGATTGTTATCTTTTGTGGAGGTTTACAACATTTCATTATGTTGACATTTATTCTTTTGGGCGGTTCATTAATACACATTTTTGGTGACATGATCTGTTCTTGAGTAGGTTTAAGGTTGTTGGCCCTGATGGCAGCAGATACTTGCAAGCTCAAGAAACTCATGTTGCCGGAAGTGATGGTGATGACGCTTGATTTGCTCATCTTAGGATCATTCTATTTTCACATTCGAATTGTACATTT